ATGTCTAGTTTATGTTTATCAAAAAAAAATTTTTTTTGACAGGGGGTCTCGGAAGTACATTTTGCTAGTCCATGACCTATATATATATAGTATATAAATTTATTACATATAACACATAATATATTTATTAAAATCTATTTTTTTTTTATTTTTATTTTTTTTATTTTATTTTGCTTTCTTTTTACTACGATCATCATCATGGTATCTATTGTCATATATTATATAATTTGTATATCTTAAAAAGCATTTCTTATTTTGGTATGATTACACTGACCGTGGGTAACCTTTTTTTATCAGTAATTACTTATATATTTCGTCTCAATTTTCAGTCAGTTATCCATAATACCCCATTTCATTATATTTATTTAAAAAATAGAATCGATATTAAAAAATCCAAATTTAACTTATCGTAACACAATAAATAATCTATTACTTTCTTTTCTCTTTGCAATTTTCATACTTTTAATATTAGTGTATCGATTCAAACACCACACCATAGCAAGGTCAAATTTAGCATTTCCTTTAATGTCTACTTCGTACAATCCTCAAGACAGTAACGAATCCACTGCAACTTCTAATGAGACTATTTCTCATACTTCCTCTGCGCCTTCAAATAATATGTCAGATATTAATAATGATCAATCTTTACAACCTACTCAAAACACTCTATCTCCTTCTCAAGAACCTGAATGGTCATTCTATTACAGGCCAAATAATGATTTTCAAATTTATCTCATTACTTATAAAGAAATAACCTTTAATGAACTCATATCACAATTATTATATAATAACTTATACCTATCTAGTAATCGACTTTGCTCAAATAATCTTTTTGAATTTTATTTTCAACATCCTAATGATCAAAGAATTTATAAAGTTGCTTGTGAAATGATTTCACATTCAAATATAGTTGAATATTTAAATTTAAATATTTTTGGTTTAAGATTAAGTGAATCGCAGCAACAATCACCCTTAGATTTTTCTAATAGACACAAAGGAAATCTTGAGTTCTATTTGAGACAATTCCTTACCGATAATTTAGTCTCCAATAGTATAGGTAGTTCTAATTCGAATTTGATTAACACTTTTTAACCAAATACAACAGTTCAAAATGGGGATTTTCAACCTCAACAAGGAAGAAGTTCATTTAATTCCGGCCATAATTAAGGACTAAAAGATAGATATTCTCTTTCTTCATTTCTCATGAATTTTCTTGAATTTTTATTTTAGTGTATTGGATTATTTATACTTTATTTATTCATTTATTTTTTATTTGTTTTATTTTTATTGTTATACTACTACTTACAACTAACAGTTTTCATTCTAAATCTTATTATCTTTTTTTTTTAAAATGTTTCCGTGTATACACAAACAAACTATCATTTCTTATTAATAAATTTTTACTTGTTTGTGCGAAAAATATATAAATTTTGCTGCTGGAAGTAATAGCGTAGCAATACAATTTCAGTTTACCTATGAAACAATCGAACAAATGGGTCGATTGTTAGGAAAATCAGGTTCTAGGAATTTTTAACAAAATTGAAATTTTTATTGCATTCAGAACCTGATTTCCTAGAAACCCTTCCAAATATAGTATTAATCGTTATTGTTGTGGCTTGTGATATCATTACACAAATTCTGCTTAGGGTAATTTTACAATGTAAAAAAACTAGAGTAAAAGGAATGCTTTGTTGGAGAGATATTGTTGAATTACTTTGGGAAATATCTGAGGCATACATAATATTCATGAAAATAGATTAATTCATGGAAATCTTCATAAAGGCAATCTGTTGATTGAAAATACTCCAGATTTTATAGAAGCACGTGTCAGTGATGTAGGATTGAATTTTCCTATTGATATAACAAGTTCAAATAAAATATTTGGCGTTCTTCCTTATGTGACTCCTGAAGACTTACAAGGGAAACCAATAACAAAAGCCTTGGACATATTTAGCTTCGGAAATATCATGTGGACACTTTCTGCTGGTATTCGTTCATGATGCAATAGACCACACGATCTTAAATTAGCTATCGATAATTGCTTCGGTATTCGCCCAGAAATCATCGATGGAACTCCAAATGCTTATATTCAATTAATGACAAAATGTTGGGATCCTAACCTTTCAATCTGTCTAACTTTATATGAGTTAAACGAATTATTAGAAGTTGGATTAATGATATATATGACGATCCGCATCCAATCTGAATTATCTGAACAATTTGATCTTGCTGAAGAGAAAAAATTTTCAAATTTGGACAAAATGAATCTTATAAACCTGAAATCCATTCTAAATTTTTCTACACGAGTAAACATCTGTATTTTCCTGAATTATTTAATTGATTATTGGAACAAAATAAAATAGGTATTGATTAATACATATTTCGTCGTATTAGTCATACATAAGTCAAATTACGTGAACGATATTCTTCTTGCAGAATCGTTGCATTACGTTTGGCTGCGAGTAATTTTTACCTTTACCAACTATCTTTTATATGGTGCCGGAAATCTATACTCAAAAATAAAATTGTAACACTTAAAAATCTTTTAACACTTTAAAAAAATAAACCAGTAACTTTATTCTCCATGATAAGTATTATTAAATTACCGGCTAAATTTTCAAAATAATAATTACATAAAAAGTTATAAGCATTTAAAGTCAGGTGATTTTCATATGATTGACCAAA